CAATCCTCCTGCCTTTACCTCCCAAGTGTGTGGACAGTGTAGGCTACCATACCTAGTTCTGTTTGCTTCCTCCACTTTCTATGCCAGAGAGCAAATTGAAGGGATTCTGCCAGTTGTCAAGAGTGTCTATATTCTATTTACACACATAGAAAATAGGAAAATGGCCACAGGGTTGCCCTGCTCTCTAGTTAGTCCCTCTGTGAGTTTAGAGCTGTTAAAGGCAGAGTGGAAACCGGCGGTGGAGTGCCTGCCTAACGTGGACAGGACCTGAGCACTACATCAAACAATAGCAATAACAACAAAAACACGGTCAACTGACGCACCATAAAATTAAAGTTTAGCTGCATATGGCAGTACTCGAGAGGCAAAGGCAGGAGGATCTCTGAATTTGAAGCTAGCCTATTCTATGTGAGTTTGAGGCTAGCCTGTTCCACATCTCAAATTCCATGTTAGTCTTAACCAACAAACCAAACCTTTAGAAATACTAACTTCAAGCTAGGTATGCTTCAAGCTAGGTTCCATATTTGTAATTCTAACACTTGGGAGGTGGAGACAGGAGAATCAGGAGTTCAAAGTTGTATTCTCTCCCTCTCCTCCTCCTCCTCCTCCTCTTCTTCCTCCTCTTCCTCTTCCTCCTCCTCCTCCTTCTCTCTCTCTCTCTCTCTCTCTCTCTCTCCATCTCCTTCTCTCTTTCTCTCTAATTTAACTTTTTATTGATTCTTTGCGAGTTTCACGTCATGCACCCCAGTCCCACTTATCTCCCTGTTCCTTCATATCCACCCTCTGCCCTTGCAACCTACTCCCCAAAAGAAAAAACTCTCACTGTGGAAGCTGTAGCGTGTCCCAGTGTATCCTACACGACACTCTTTTGTCCACACTTCTTGCAAACGCTCATTGCAGTGAGTCACTGGTCTGGTTCAAGGCCTCTCTGACTTCTGCTACACCATCAATACTGGATCCTCACCAGGACTCCTCAGATATCCTGTTGTTGCCCTGTGTCATGGAGATCCTGCAGCTTTGGATCTGCAGGATTGGCTCCTTCCTGCACTCCAGCAGTTCATAGATGTTGAGGTGAATCAGTCAAAGCTCTGGATCTGGTCCTAGGTTGGTAGCTGAGTCAAGTCAGTCAGCCCACCAGCTCTCTGACACCCTACCAGTGTGAGCTATGCAGCACTGCCCCAGCTAGCTCACCCAGTGCCACGGCTGGCAAGGGGCAGGCTCTCCTGCTCTCACACACTTGGGGCTGGCTCACCCACAGCCCTCACAACCAGGGTCAGTTCTGCTGTGGTGCCCAGGTAAGGTAGAGGGCCCAGTCTCCCATGCTGTAGCCGGTGAGAGGTAGGGCCAGCTCTCCCACCATCATGACCCCAGGGTCAGCTCTCCTGATTGATGCAGGTGGCGTAGCAGGGGAGGGCATCTCTCCCTTGCCCATGCCACCACACTGCAGATGAAGGGCCAGGCCAGCTCTCCCATGCTCACATCCTTGGACCAGCTCACCCTCAACTCCTGAAACTAGGGCCAGCTCTACTGTGCTTCCTGGGCAAGATGCAGGCTCTCTCCTGAGTACTACAGCTGCTGAGGGTTGAGGCCAGCTATGTACAACCCTTAGACATAGGGATGGCCGCAGGGCCCTTGTGACAGACCCCCGCTGCTGCAGGGCCACAGACCCAGACATAGCCCAGAACCTCACAATGGCCTTAGGTGGTTTCACAGCCTACTCACGTCAGGCTGTCCAGTTCTACCTCTCCTTGTTGTGCACACATCCTTCTACTTCTCTTTCTCTTCCATCTCTCCACCACTTACTTGTTCCTTTTAGTGGCACCTGGGGCCTCTGAGTATCTGAGTCATCTTAGGAAGTGGTACCAGGCAGAGGTCTTGTGCAGTCTGCTCATCTGGACCTATGTGGGACCTGGCTGAGAGTTTTCTCCCATCTTGAGTCTTATAGCAAGTTCAAAGCCAGACTGGGCTACATGAGTTTTGTCTCAAAAATAAATAAATAAATAAATAAATAAATAAATAAATAAATAAAATCTTTACTTCATAGAAGTGATTGGTAGTGCTTGTGGACGTCACTACTATATTGTACAGTACAGGTATAGGCTGACTTCTGATCATGTTGAGGCATGAATTACAATCACAGAAAATCAAAGCCATGGCTGCACAGACCTTTATCCCAGCACTTAGAAAACTGAGGCAAGAGTGTGGTTTAAAACTCGTGTGGGGCGCAGGCGGGGTCGGGGACGCCTGGCTCCGCAGCCCCTGGAACCGCGGCTCAGTCGGTCTTCAGAGCCGTGCCTCCAGCTTCCCGTGCTACAGTGGTGGTCCCAGCTGATTGTTCGATCTTGCCAGGGCTGTCGCCAGGGCTACACTGCTGAGCAGTCCCCAGAACCACGGTTGCAGAGGAGAGAGGGAGCCCCGCGGATGGCTGGGACAGGAAGAACAGCTGCTGCAGGCAAGAGAGCCCCAGAGGACGGCTGCAGCAGGGAGGGGTAGAGAGGCTTTCCCCACTTACACAAAGAGAGTCCAGAGTTCCAGGAGACTTGTGGAATCGAAGATATAGAAGTTTTATTGACCATGATGATGTATCTAAATGGTGGTGCTCTCCCACAAAATGCCAGGAGGGGCTCCATTATATTGGGGAGAGGGGAAGGAGGGGCTTGGGAGATGAAAATTTAGATAACCACGCCCCGGCTTTTAGGTAATTCATTAATATGTAAATCTTGAGGCAGAGACCAACAACTTCCTACATTCAATCTAAATTCACCACTATGTAGCTATCATATTGAAACAGTTACTGGTAGTGTCTAGACCTGCTTTTCTATTGTCTACTCTGGAGGGTCGGTAGGGTAATTGAATAGGTTTATGGAAAACCAGCAAGATGATGCAGCAGGTAAAGGCATCTGCCTCAAGCTAGATGACCTGGGTTTAATCCCCCAAATCCTTATGGTTGAAGGAGAGAACCAAGTTATTCTCTCTCCTCTACATGTATAAGGTGAGCACTCCTCTATACACAAAATGAAATGAAATTGGTTTTTAAAAATAATAATGGTTCATATATAAATATATTGCATATCCATGCATTGGTCTTCAGTAAGTGGCAGTGTTTTAGTAATGCCCCTACTACAAGGTCACTATCTTTAGTGTGCTCTTTAGTGAGCTCATGTATGATAATGAACTGTTGCCTCTTGATGATTGGTAGGAAGAGGTTTCTATAAACTCCACATAGAAGTGTAGTTTCTCTATCCCTTGAGATACCTAAGTAAGGCTGCCTTAGCGTGGAGAAAGGAGCATATGGGCAATTCCACCTTCAGCATGGCAACTGCTAAAGTGCTCCATGGCCAGACCTGCCCTTCCTTTTCAGAGAGTCTGATTCAGGCCTGAACAGTCACACTACCCTGCTTGGTTTACTTTAGGGGCACTTAGTATACTAGTGAATGCTTGAGTTAGTTTTCTGTCACTGTGATAAATACTTAGCATTGGAGTTGGGGCTAGGATCAGCTGGTAGGCTAGTTGCCTAGAATACCCCAAGACCCTGTTTCTATCCAGCACCACATAAGCCAGGTATAGTAGTGCGCACCTGTAATTCCATGATGTAAGAGGTAGAGGCAAGAAGATTAGGAATTCAAGTTTATCCTCGGCTACATTGGGACCAGCCTAGACTACATGAGACCCTGTCTCAAAACAAAGAAAACTTGACACCAGCATCTTTAAAGGAAAAAAAAAAACCATCTATTGCTCTGTGTTCCAGAGGTTTTAATCCAGGTTCCGCTGGCCATGTTTCTGGGCCTGTGGTGAATCAGACATGATGGTGGGAAAGGTACCACGGAGCAGAGCTGCTCACCTCACAGCAGCCAGGAAGCAGGAGGAGAGCAAGAGGACGAACAGAAAAAAATGCCATCTTCAGTGACCTACTTCTGTCATCTAGGTCCCACACCCTGAATTCTGCCACCTCACAATAGCACATTAAGTTATGTGTCCAGGACTGGAGAGATGGCTCAGTGGTTAAGAGCACTAACTGCTCTTCCAGAGGCCCTGAGTTCAATTCCCAGCAACCACATGGTGGCTCACAACCATCTGTAATGGGATCCGATGCCCTCTTCTGGTGTGTCTGAAGAGAGTGACAGTGTACTCATATACATAAAATGAATAAATCTTTTTTTAAAAAAGTTATGTGTCCATCTATGGTTTAATCAATTGGTGATAGATCTCTCACTATCCAGTCACTCTCAAAAGCTGCACCTCTGAACATTGCTGTATCACCAAGCTGTCAACACATTAGTGTGTGAGAACATTTTAATACCCAAACCATAATAGTGTGGATTATAAATGAGGTTCCTCGTATGTGGGTTTGAAAAAGTACGACATAAGCCTCATGAGATATATTACAAATAGACAAATAGAAAAAATGTTACCTCTCCGACTTGAAGTTGTCTTCCTTATGAAATGAGACATTTTCCAGTGGGTATTGTGGTTCACCAGCTTGTTTCCGGGTCTTAGGTGAGACAGACTGCTCTAGAGCTACACGGCTGTGGATAGTCCTGAGTCTTCTCAGGTGTGCAGGATTACAGGTGTTCACATTAGGGCTTCAAATATCGCCTAGTTCACAGACCTCAGGCACACCTCTGAGGTACTGTCTAGATTAAGGTTAGCCTCTGAGAATGTCCATGAGGGATTACCTGGATTAGGTTAATTTATGGGAGAAGACCCGTCTTAACTTCGGCTAGCATCCTGGAGTGTGTAAACGGGAGAGTGAGCTGAGCAGTACACCCATTGCTTCCCTGCTTTCTGACGGTGGCTGTGATGGTGGCTGTGACGGGACCACCATGATGAACTGTAACCTGACACTGTGAGCCAGAGTCAGCCCTCCCTCCTTCAGTTGCTTTTATCAGCAACACATTTTTTACCACCACAACAGGAAAGGACACTATGGAAGGCAGAGTGACATCACAGTGTAAAATTTAAAGGCAACTCTGACTTCTCTTGACTTCTGTCTTTTCCAGGAACTCTGTGCAAGGACTCAGATCCCATTCTCGAAGAAAAGAGAAAGGTAGAAAAAATGGTGGCTGACTGCCTGACAAATTGTTACCAGGTATGTAGAACTATGTCTCCTAAGTGACATGCTTACCTCTACCTTGTAGATGCACCTTCAGGACAGGCTTGCTGTCCAGAGCTTCTAGAACAAGTAGTAAACAAGCAGGCACTCAAGAACTGAGCGCCTAGCTGAGCTTCTGTGAGAGTGGGGCCTCTGATGTGGTATTATGAGAAAATCATCCCAGGATTCCGTAATTACTAACTAATCTTGATACTCTTAATGCCAAATGTACATTGATCATGTCCAAGTCCATTCAGTTATTCTGACAGATGATAAAGAAGGTCTAGTATTCTTTTCTTGGAGTATTTATCTGTTACTGTTGAGATGGTATATGCAACTTAGAAGTATATTTCAAAAAAAATGAGAGAAGGGCTTCTAGTCTGGTTGGGGCAAGGTCTGCCCACCTGTCAGAAGGGTTATTAGTGACTGGAGCAGACCGACAGGTTGAGTGCAGATGTTGGTGGGAGTATTGGGACCTCTACGCTCTGGGGCAGTCACTGGCAGCTCTCAGATTCCTGTATGGGTATTGGTTCTCACTCTTCAACTGTAGAAAACATTGGTATGTATGTTATTGTTACTCAAATAATGTGTGTGTATGTTTTAGGTCTCAGTAACTTTTGATGATGTGGCTGTGGACTTCACCCAAGAAGAATGGATTTTATTGGATCAAGCTCACAGAGACCTCTATAGAGAGGTGATGCTGGAGAATTACCAGAACCTGGCCTCAGCAGGTAAGATTGCCACCACTCCTTATAGCTCCCCAGAGGGAGTGCTGGTGTACTGAGGGATCCGAGAGCAAGGAAAGTAAGAGGCACACAGACTTTGTCCTAAGCCCATAACCTGTTTGTGGAAGATTCAAGAGATTAAAGGTTTCCAGTGGATGCCTAAACTGTAGATAGGACTGAACTGTATATACAGTAGTAGCTTTTTTGAGTTGCAGCAAAACTTGCATGAATTCCTTTTTTCATGATTTCACAGATTGGAGGTTTATTTATTTACTTATATTTTGGAATAAAAGATCCGATTGTAGTTATGGTTGACCTTGAACCCCTGATCCTCCTGTCTCCACCTCCCAAGTGCTAGGATTACAGATATGTACCACAACAACTGTCTGGAGACTGCTTGAGAGTAGATATTAGCATTGGACTGGAGAGGTGGCTCAGCAATAAAGAGTACCTGCTGATCATGCAAAGGACCCAGGTTTGGTTCCCTGATCCAGGTTTGGCAGCTCATAACTACCTGTAATTCCAGTTCCAGAGACTGGCTCCCTCTTCTGGTCCCTCAGGGACTGTATGCACATAGTACATGTATACATGATAGCTAAACAAATAAGAAATGAAATGTCTAACAGTAGAGGTTAGCAACCTCAGCATATAGGTTTCCCTCCCACTCTTTTCTTTCCTTATTGTCTAGAACTTTTTTGTTAAGTGAGGCTCCTTACAACTTCTCTTTCACATATCTAAATTGCCATTATGACTACTGTTATGTTTTGAGGCCATTAGTAAAAATGAGGGCTATATGAGCACACCTGTTGCTATATGGGTTTTTGTTTTGTTTTGTTTGAGGCAGGGTCTCACTATGTAGCCATGGCTGAACTGGAACTCACTGTGTAAATCAAGCTCCCTGAATTCAAAGAAATCTGCTTCCCATGTGCAAATGCTGGGATTAAAGGTTTGTGCCACCATGCCACCATGCCTGGCAAGTTTTGTGTGTATTGCAGCAAGCTAAGGTGCTGAGTGACTAGTGAGCAGGCAGCAGAGGCAGCATGGCTAAGATGGGCAAAGGATGATTGGCATCCAGGGACGAGCAGAGGAGTAGTGTGAGAGTCTGCAATTCTACTCAAACTGCTGTGCAATTCTATATGAAAATTTTTTGGGAATTTACATTTCATATTTTCAGGACAGAGTAGATAATATGTAACTAACCACAGACAGCAAAACCATGAATAAGTGGGGCTGTTAAGTGGTAGTTCATAAAATGCTGTACTATATGAATGCCAGTTACCCTGTCAGAAACATAAATTATTGGCTGGGCATGATGGTGCATAGCTTTTGGGAAGCAGAAGTAGATGTGCCTTTGTAAGTTTAAGGCCAACTACATAGTGAGTTCCAGGATAGCCAGAGCAACATAGTGAGACTCTGTCTCAAAATAAATAAAAAATCACTCAGTCAATCAATTAATTAATTAATTAATTTAACGTATATACGTATGCTGTCACTGACATACCAGAAAAGTGCATTGGATCTCACTACAGATGGTTGTGAACCACCATGTGGTTGCTGGAATTGAACTCAGGACCTCTGAAAGAGCAGACAATGCTCTTAACTGCTGAGCCATCTCTCCAGTCCCCAAATAAGTACATTTTTAAAAATTAAATTTATCGAGTTGGGATGTAGCTGGGTGTTCTATGCAAGTACCTATGTTTGATCTCCAGTACTGTGGAGAGGGTAGAGGTGGTCATTCTCTTCCTTTGGCATACTGATTCAAAAACCTCAGAGTACTAAGTTTAACCCAGATGAGTCTGATACTATGTAGCCTGCTGTTTGAAAGTAAAATTATCTTTGTTTCACTTTACTTTCTATTTGACTTGAGTATTGGTGTTTTCTTAGAGTGTATATAATCATTAACTAGAGTGTCTCAAATCAGCGGTAATTCATCATCAGGGCATAGAAAAGGCAGTATTTGCTTGTTTAACCTATAAGAAATAATTACCCTGCCTTCATTAGATGCACAGGGCCTGTCGTGGTGAACACATCTTTAATTGAACCGTTCAGGAGGCAGACAGGCAGCTTTTTGTGAGTTTGAGGCCAGCATGGTCTACATATTGAGTTCCACAACAGCCAGCATTCCATAGTGATGCCCTGTCCAAAACCAGAGCAAAACAAAACAGAACGAAAAAACAAAATTATACTGATTTGTACTCTCTTGCATGAACTTCCTCTTCCTCTATGAATGCATTTTGCCATGTATAAGGATGTGAGGTCATCAAACCCAGTCTGATCTCCTGGTTGGAAGAAGAGGATTTGCACAGAGAAGATCTCCAAGGTGAGTGTTTATGAAGAAGATATTTTCAATTAGAATGTGACATCTTTCTAAGATGCACTTGATGGCTCTAAGTGTGGGCCATGTACCAGGAGAGAAAGGAAATCTTCTACTCTTACTTTTTGCCTTCTCAGGTTTTTGTGTAATTTTGCAGAATAACCTATTGGGTTTCATGGTTCTCATATGTATTTGTTCAGATCTTTGCTACCTTGCAGCCCTAATAATATGATTTTCGTTCACCATGAGTTTTAATTTTCAAAGAGTCAGTTTGAAATAAAACATGGAAAACCCTTGGGCTGGTGAGATGGCTCAGCGGTTAAGAGCACTGACTGCTCTTCTAGAGGTCATGAGTTCAAATCCCAGCAACCACATGGTGGCTCACAACCATCTGCAATGAGATCTGATGCCCTCATATGGGTGTCTGAAGACAGCGACAGTGTACTTACATATAATAAATAAATAAATCTTTAAAAAAAAAAAAAACATGGAAAACCCACATCCTTAGTGTAGTCAATTTATTGACCTTGTCAAAATGATCGCTGTACTTTCTTCCTAACCAGATTCAGTGGAACAATCAAAAAAAGCCCCATGGTTGTTAACTTTGAAACTGACCATTTATTTTTCTCCAACCCTTAATTTTGTTTTTCTGTTTATCTTCAGAATGGGAAATGCCACTTGGCACCCAAGAGTCAACATTTCATCAGGATTTTTTGAGGGGACAGACTTCCAGTGGAGTACAAACAGTAAGACTGACCAGAGACAATTGTCATTTCCCTCACTCAGAGATGATTATGAACTCCATTGTAGGAAGCCAAATGGCATACACGCAGGAGGGATAAGCAGTGTATCTGGGAAGTGTTTTGAATAGAATACATTTTGAGGTGTCCAAAAACTATCACAAAACCTGTTCTTTAAGAGATCCTTCTGCCCACAGTGGCTCAGTGGGTGAAGACTCTTGATGCAAAGCCTAACAACGTAAGTCTGGTCCACAGGAGCCACACTGCAGAAGAGAGCTGACTCCCACAGGGTGTCCTCTGACCGCTACATGCACACTACCGTATGCACTGCACTCTCCCCTCCAAAATACATAAACACAATCTTGTCTGTTTACTTTACTTACTTGAGACAGGGTTTTACTTAAGTACCCTTGGCTGGCCCAATACTCATTATCTAGACCAGAAAGACTTCTAACTCAGTGAGATCTGCCTACCTCATTCAGCATAATTATTTTTAAAAAAGATATCACAAGTGCATGGCCCCACATCTGTAACTACATACTAGCTTTTAAGGCAATTCTGTGTCTATCTTAATGATTCTTTTGAGCTTGGATCAAATAGCAACTACTGTCACATCACTCCAGTTGAAAGAAAACATGGCAGAAATTCTAAACATGCTCCAAAAAAGTTAAATGTGCTTTATCATTCATTCATTTAACAGGAGAGAAAAAAGTCTTAATAAATTATGAGATTAACCAGGAAATTTCTTATTTACCACACTCACGAAAGTTTAGGAATTTTGTAGAAAAATCAACACAAATGATAAATACACAAGAGAAGTAATATCTACCTAATTAAAAGAAATGTCTTAGAGTCTAGGGCAAAACTTGGGGTGATAGAGCCTTCCCGAGTACATATTACTGCATATATATACCTGACTTATGAAATTCTTAAAATCATTTCATTAAAGTACCGAAGCAAGCCCAGGTATGGTGATGCACGCCTTTAAGCACTTGGGAGGCAGAGGCAGAGGCAGAGGCAGAGGCAGAGGCAGATGGATCTCTGTAAATTTGAGATCAGTCTGATCTGCATATCCAGTTCCAGGATAGCCAGAGCTGTATAATAGAGAGGTACCTTTCCATAAATAAAGGTAGATAGATAGATAGATAGATAGATAGATAGATAGATAGATAGATAGATACGTACATACGTAGGTAGGTAGGTAGGTACGTAGGTAGATAGGTAGGTAGATAGGTAGATAGATAAATGAAGGCTGAGGCAAGCGGCTAGGTATGATTGCATACGCCTTTTAATTCTAGCATATAGAATGCAAAGACAGGTGGATCTCTAATTTTGAAGACAGCCTTCTCTACATAGAGCTTTAGATCAGCCATGGCTACATAGTAAAACACTCAAAAACTAACAAAACTACTAAAATACTGAGGCATCTTCCAGGATTAGAACTGATGGTTCTGGACTTTAGGAAAGGAGTCTTACATGTAGTCAAAATGGCAAAAATCATTGTTTTTGTGCCCTCACATAAGTGGAATCCTTTAATAAGTCTGAAAAACTGTCTAACCCCAATTCATCCCTTTATCAACAGGGCAGAAGCCACAGTGCTCGAGAACTCTGTTACTATACACAATGTGGAGAAATTTTCAGTGAACACTCATATTTCAAGACACATGTGAAAACGCACAGTGCATGGAACACTGGACATCTCAGCCACTCAGATCAGGATGCATCTGCTCCAGTACACACCATTAAAACGTACCCATGTAAGCTTTGTGGGAAAGCCTTTGGGCGATCTTCAAATCTCAATAGACACCTGCGAAGCCACACTGGAGAAAAACCCTATGAGTGTAAGGAGTGTGGGAAAGCCTTCACTACCTACTCAAGGCTAGTGGAACACTTTAGAACTCACACTGGAGAAAAACCGTATAAATGCAAGGATTGTGGGAAAGCCTTTGCTAAGCGGTCAGGCCTTATAACACACATATCAACCCATGCTTCAGAGAAACCCTTTGCATGTAAAGAGTGTGGGAAAGCCTTTGCTTCATCCCCACGACTTAGTCAGCATATAAGAATTCACAGTGGAGAGAGACCCTACATATGTAAGGAATGTGGACGAGCCTTCCTCACTTCCTCGTACCTGCGGAACCATGTAGGAAGAACTCACAGTGGAGAAAGACCCTACATATGTGGAGAATGTGGAAAAGCCTTCCATTCTTACTCAAATCTACGTAGACATGTAAGAACTCACAGTGGAGAAAGACCCTATATATGCAAGGAATGTGGAAAAGCCTTCCTCAATTCCTCATACCTACATAACCATATAAGAAAAACACACAGTGGAGAGATGCCTCACATATGTGGTGAATGTGGGAAAGTCTTCCATGCTTCCTCATACCTGCGTAGACACTTAAGGACTCACAGTGGAGAGAGACCATGCATATGTAAGGAATGTGGGAAAGCCTTCCTCAACTCCTCGTATTTACGTAAGCATCTAACCATTCACACTGGAGACAAACCCTACGAGTGTAAGCAATGTGGGAAAGCCTACCGCAAGTACAATCTGCTACACGACCATTTAAAAACTCATGCGGTAGAAAAGCCGTTTGAATGTGATGTATGTGGAAAATCCTTTCAGTATTTCTCATACCTCACTAAACACATTCGTATTCACACCGGAACAAAACCTTATAAATGTAAGTACTGTGGGAAAGACTTCACTACTTCCTCAAGCCGAACTGAACATATCCGAACTCACACTGGCGAGAGGCCTTATGAGTGTACGGAATGTGAGAAAACCTTCAGTTCCTCATCTAACCTCATTCACCACGTAAAAATCCATGCTAGAGAGAAACCTTTTGTTGAGAATGTAGGGAAGCCTACAGTAGATTTTCCCTGCTAACCAAACACTAGTAACTCAGGTAAACAGTCACTTAAGATAGGAGGAATGCCAGAAACCCTTCACCCCTCATGTCTTGGTTTCGTCAGACTGGGACTTACACTACTAAGAAGCCAAGGAATGTCCAACAGCCCCCAGCTGTGACAGTTTACTCTGAAAACATGAAAAGAACTCATACTCAAGATGTCCCATGAATTTACGGAAATAGTAAAGCCCTCACTCCTTCCTAGGACCATACTAAATGTGTGAGACTTCACAGTGAAGGGAAATCACTGATGTAAGATGCATAGAAGGTTGTAGTTCTATTAAATATTTTAAAATCACTTTTCCCAACAGTTGAGAAAACCTTATGAAGGTAAGGAGTGTTAGAAAGTAACGTGAACTCCATTCTCAGTATTTAGTAACATTATAATTCATACCCAAGAGAAATTAACTATAAGGAACTTTTGTCCACGTGCCCTCAAGTGTGGTGTGCTGGCAGCATTAAGGCCTGTTGGGTGATATTTATTTTGAACTTTTGTCCTGATTCCTGTCCTGATAGTCCTCGAGTTATGATATGTTTTCTTTCCTACAAGCAACACCATTTCATCTTGGTTGCTACAACTTCTGTGTAGTAAGCTGGTATTATGAGGACTTTTGAACTATAAACATTGTTTTAGTGTAATGCAGATTCTGTTGTTGGCTTACCAACTATTAAACATGCTACTCTATAGTAACTTACAGCAGCTGAGTTTCATAATACAGTCTTCAAGGTTGTTAAAGTGCCCTTGCTCCCTTTTCACAACTTTTAGATAAAAGTTGATAAACAAGTAAGCAAACAAGCTAGTAGAATTCCTTTCACAAACAGTTGAGCTAGGAATCCATAAATCCATCAGTCCTCGATGGAGCCAGAGCCCTCAAGATCCAGACGGCTCTCGTCCTACACTGCGAACTCTACAGCCCTATGGTCCAAGCCTGCAGTACATGAATGTTTGGGGGTACATTTCAGATATAATACAACCCCTCCTGGCTTCTGGTAATTCCTCAAGATTACAGATAACTCGAATGCTTGGGGACATGTTTTATAATCATTATAATTTGTAGTTGTATCCTATTGTATGTGCATATTGGGAGTGGGATAGGTGTACGTGTCACAGTGCACATGGGGAGGTCAGACATGGCTTGGCAAGCCTTAACTCACTGAGCTGTCTCACCGACATGTACTTTTCATATTCTGAGCAATTCAATGAGGCCCAGAGAGATGACTCTGTGGTTAAGAACACTTTCTGTTTCAGAGGACCAGAGTTTAGTTCCCAGCATTCACACTGAGATGTTCACAACTGCCTTTACTCAAGCTCCAGGGGATCAGACTTCCTCTTCTAGTCTCTGGGTACCCACAGACAAGTGCACATACAGTCACATAAATAAAGTCTTTTAAAAAGGAAAAAAAAACAACTAATAGAATCCCAAACTCTATTATTTTCTAAGAACCCACTAAGCATGTATGTCCCATGTCCTAAATCAATCTAGATCAAAACTGAAGGTAAATAGAGACATCACCTATATATACTCTTGCTTATTAGAATTATTCAAAAGTATTGATCTTAACATTTTTTTTCCAGCCGTACTTTTGCTTCTTGGCATAAATTTCAATAAACATTGTGGCTAAGGCTTTTCTTGCTTCCATCCCAGCCTCCTGTCCCTGTGTTTTGCCTCTGGCAGACCTGGATAGTAGGTACATCGTTCTGTGCTATCTCTCAGTACTATGCATAAGAAACTTCATTTAGGGCTGGTGAGATGGCTCAGTGAAGAAAGGCTAGGCTCACAACCAAAAAGATAAGAAACTTCATTTAGTCAGACACCATATGACTTCCTACAGAAACTCCTAGCAAGCATTTCTTCATAGTTGGTGTCTTATGTATTGTTTGCTGTGCTTTGGGAAGGGCCGATGTACAGTTGCCGCTCTGTTACATTTTTATTTTGTAGAAGGCAACAAATGCATGATTTATAGCAGAAGACAACCTGCAGCAGGCCATACGAGTTCCAGGGATCCAACTCATGTTGTCTGACGTAACGGCAAGTTCCCTTTCATGCTGAGCCATCTGGGGGTCTCCTCTATGTTTTTAATTGATCTTTAAGACTCAGACATCTTAAGTTACTTCATAATTGTAGGGTTTGGTTCTGTTTTGTGGAGTTTTGTCTGTTTTTTTTATTATGTTGTTTGCTTTTTGCTTTTATTGGCAACCATAAGCTATATGCCTAGTCCATATTTCCCCACACAGTTTCTCTGATAATACAGTTTTATTGTGTAGTCCCAACTGCCTTGGAGCTCATGGTACCCAGATGCACATGATGGTGCACACCTTTAATCCCAGCATTCCAGAGGCACAGGCAGGTAGATCTCCTGAGTTTGAGGCCAGCCTGGTCTACAGAATGAGTTCCAGGACAGCCAAGGCTATACACAGAAACTCTGTCAAAGAGAGAGAGAGAGAGATTGGTAATAAAATAAAATATAATATAAACAAACATTCAGAAAAAAAAAGCCAAAGGAAAATAACACAAGAAACATAGACATAGAGAGGCACATTTGTACATATAGAAATCCAATAAAACACAAAATCGGAAACCAATATAAATACAAAGACCTGTGAGGAAAACCTCTAGTAATGCCATTAAATTCATTTTGTATTGGCCACCTACTGCTGAGCATGGTATCTGTCCTTAGAGTGGTTTGTATGCCCAGTGAGACCCCACTGGAGAAAACTAATTTTTCCTTTGGGAGAAGTTGTCAATTGGAAATATCGTCTGGGTTAGAGATGGGGACTTATGTCCACTTCCATTCTAGCTACTAAGACAGACCCATCTGCCTTAGACCTTTGCAGGCCCTGTGAATGGTGCCACAGTCTCTGAGTGTGTATGTGTCATTCCTGTTGTGTTTAGAAGGCCTTGTTTCATTGGTCTTCTTTAATATCCTTGGGAGGAATCTGTTTAAGACAGAGTGTCC